AATAGCTCTAATACACTGAAAAAAATCCCAAAAAAACAATAACAACTAACCAAATTAAAAACACATCACTCAAGTTTCTTCTTCCTTCCAGAGTCACTGAAATCATGGTTCTAACAGTTTTCTTCCTGTTTTTTTGCTGGAATTATACACATTTATAGATTTATGACAACAACAACAACCAAGCAAAGAAAAAACACATTACTCAAGTTTCTTTTTCCTTCCAGAGTCACACAAATCATGGTTCTAACAGTTTTCTTCCTATTTTTTTTTTTGCTGGAATTATACACATTTATGAGATTTATGACAGACACTTTTCTTTCCAGATAATCAACTGACTGCACCAAGAACCACAGAGCTTTTAAATGAGTGGACCTATAAAAGTGTGTGTAAATTCAAAGTCACAAAAAGATTACTGAGCAAAATAGCTCTAATACACTAAAAAAAACCCAAAAAAACAATAACAACAACTAACCAAAGAAAAAACACATCACTCAAGTCTCTTTTTCCTTCCAGAGTCACAGAAATCATGGTTCTAACAGTTTTCTTTAGCTCAGGAACCCCAAATCCTGAATATGTAGAAGTTACCAAGAAAACAAACATACCCTACTGAAGTTTCTTAATGCCCACAAACTCCTCAATAACCCAAACTTTCTCTGTTTTATTAAAAACAGCTTCTCAGGACCAGATGCTAAATCCAAGTGAAGTCAGAGAGCCACACGGAGGATTTTGAAACCAGAACATTTGATTACAGAAGTAATGGCAAGCAGAACCCAAATAAAACAAAGCAGCACCGTGCCCTGGCTCCTGGCACAGCAGGAGGAGAAGCTGCAGCTCCTGGCTCGGCAGCCCCAGCTCCAGACACAAATCCTGCTCACACAGCCCCATTTCCATGTGCCAGAGCAGACACAGGTCCATCCTTCCAGCCCCACATTCCCTGGACAGCAGCTGACATGGATATTTTCACTTTGTACCTTGTTCTCAGCACTACAGGTGTTTTCAGCTCAGTTCTGAAAAGATCTTAAATCCTGTGTCACCTCCAGTAGTAAAAACAGTTCTTAATTTAAAATTTGCAAGCCATTCTTAGGAAGGAAAAAAAAAAAAGAATCCAACTTAGTAGATCATAATAAAAATAAACAAACAACAACAAACCATGCAGTAGTATCCTTGTCTTAAGAACAAGCAGAACAGATTACATCAAGACAAACCCAAATAACCAAAGGGAAAAATGCCAACTTCATTCCATCTGCTGTGCAGCAGAAAATGCAAAAGGGCTGCAAACGTGGCTGCTTCCTGGGCAAGGTGCTCTGCACACAGCAGCCACCAGCAATGCTTCCACTGTGTCACCTGCCCATGTTCCTTGTGAAAAATCTCCTATTCCTTCTGCTTTTTGAACCAGGGACTCCATATCAGCCCCCCTTGAAGAGAGTTCCCTCCTCAAACCTCACTGCCCTCACTGCTGCTCCATCCCCTCCTCACCTCTCCTCTCCCTGGGCTGCACCAAAGGGAGTTCCTGCAGCAATGGGACAGCAGCAGAGGAAAACAAGGTGTTTTGAAAAATGCCAGGTGGACAAAGCTCTGTCGCAGACATTTTTTCACAGAAATCTTTTCTTTGAGATTATCCATCTTCTGGGAAGCTGAAGGCCCCGGAAGGAGAATGTAAACAATTGTTATCAGCTGCTGTAGAATGCAATAAGATGCACCTGTGATTAGTTCATGTTCCATGTGTACAATATTAGAGCCAATCACAGAGCAAGCTCTCTGGAACACAGAAACAGAGAATTCTCTTGTTTTTAGATACTTTCTATTCTTATTCTTAGCTTAGCAGCCTCTGCAACTTCTCTCTTTATTCTATTTAGTATAGTTATAATGTATTATATATCATATATCAATAAATCCAGCCTTCTGATCAAGAAACAAGATTCTCATCTTTCTCTCACCCCAGCACCACCTCAAGTCGCTGTAATGAGCTCCAGTTTGAGTACAGAGCTCCTGAACACCTGCCTATGCCATGAAAGAAGGAAACACAAAATCATAAATATTATTATAGATTAGCACTCTCTTAGTGCGACAGTTGTTCTTTTAAAGCATGCTGATAGACCCCAAAGTGGTAATTATTAATCTTGCACCTCAAGAAAGCTCCAAAAAAATTAACTACACAGAGCAGTTGTTCTTCAACCACTAATGATGTAAAAATGAGCACAATCACAATCCTGAGCAAGCTGAAGCAATGACAGCTAAACCAAAAATGCTATGAAAAGTACCAGCAAAGTGCCTGGATCCCAAATGCTTGAAATCTTAATTTGAAGACAAAGGCTTTTAAGGTGTAATAAATCCCATTCAACTGACAAGACAAAGTTACAATTATCCATGTTACTAAACTGATTTTACCAAGCTATTCCATCTGACAAGGGAAATGGCAAACTCTTCAGCAGCTGTGTTGAAAAAAATTATCTTTTCAACTTTGCCTTGTTTCCCTCCTCACACATAGTACTATTTTTAAAAAAAAATTAAGAACTCTGTTACAGCTAAGCCAGCCATTTTCAGCTGCCAAACTAAAGTTTAGTTCCATTTTAGTACCAGGAGACTGGATCATAATTCATCTAGTTAAACTGAGGATTACTTGTTGACATCAATTTTGAACAGCCCAAAATAACCCAGTCTTCAAATTTTGGGGGGAGGAAAGGGCATGAGATTATGAAGAGAACTGGCAGGAGCAGTTGAAATGCTCTGCTGTGATTAGCAGAGAGCACATCACGGCAGGGAATGGACTGATCTGAAGTTGTGCTAGAACTGATATGGCAAAGAGAAGCTGGAAAGAGAAACAGCAACACCCAACTTAATACCACACCAAGGAGCCTGTAAATCTCACTTTAAAGAGCCTGAGAGAACATTTGATTATTTGATTGACTGTATTAAAAATAACCTCCCATTCAATCAGTAAAGTATTTCCTACTTACACTTCTGGCTTATTTACAGATCCTTCTTGCAAAGGGCAGCAAAGATGGGTGGGGATTCCTGTCCCCGAGGAATTTACAGGTCGAACAACACACAGTGAGAACGGCCACACACAAAGCTAGAAATGTCCCCTTGACCCATTCTGAGCTGCAATTAGCCCCCAATTAAAGTCACGCTCCTGTGATGAACCCCGTTGATGCTTTTGTGCCACTCAGCATTCCAATTACATTAATATTTGTAATTATACTTCTGAGAGAATGCTAATAGCCACAGCTCCTCAGGAACAGATGACAGTGTCACCAGTGTCACCCCCACCTGCCTGCCCTTGCTTAAGCTGCAGAAGCAAAGTAAAGGTAGCAATTTCTTTTTCCTTCAAGAGAACTACACCACATAATTAGAGTTTCACAAATGCCACGCATCCAAAGGCTTTATTCTCTTTGAATGCTGTGACAGACTTAAAGCAGAGTGATCCTTCACATCTGACATGCCAGCCTCCACATGGTGAAACACCAGCTCAGCTTGGCCTTCAGAGGAAGGCCAGCAAGAGTTCCAGAACACCTCCTGCTGCTCACCTGTCCCCCCCTGTCTGAGTAACTACTGAGAAAGGGGAGGGAAAATAAATAAGCCTCACAAATCTCTTCTGTGAGACCGATAAGCAGATGGAAAAACAAAACTGATTACAACAGATCTCTCCTGAACCACTGTTAAAAGGTTCTGCTCACAACAGAGTGAGCTCTAAGGAGAGAAAGAGGGAGTTACTACACAGAAGACATCTCACCTTTCAATTTTTGCCCAAACAAACGCATCAAAGCACTAAACTCACATGCCAGCCCCACCACTTGTGACACGGCAGGCAGCTGGTGAGCAGAGACTGTTCAAGCACAGCACAAAGCCCGTCAAACAACGTTTGTTTACCACACCAACCCCCAAGAATTCCAGAAAAAGTTGTCATTATTGCCACGGCTGAAAGTCACCGTGGCAGCAGAAAGTTCTCAGCAGCCGGGCAGTGCCAGCCGTGCAGGACACCCGGATCCAGCTCCATCCTCCATCATTTATTTCTGCCACCCGCCGCTCCCGAGGGAGCCGAGCCCGCTGCGGGGACAGGCTGATCTTGTCACTCCCAAGGAAGGACTCACAGAAACATCCATGACCTCCGCAGACGAGTTTGTCTTATCCTGCCAGGAAGCTGCTGCAGTCTGGGACGGGGAAGGCAGACAGGGAGGCGCTGGCAGCGTGGATTACCAAGGTCTGCCTCGCTCCTTAATCCAACTTTCCTAATTTTTGTTTGCAGCGTGGATTACCAAGGTCTGCCTTGCTCCTTAATCCAACTTTCCTAATTTTTGTTTGGACTTCGGTTCCCAAAGAACGAGCTCGATTTGGAAACACTTCTCACGCTGTACTTTACTTCTGATGAAGCATCGACAATAGGTGATCACAGAATGAATCACGAAGTGGGTTTGGGCTGGAAGGGACCTTAAAGATCATCTTGTTCCAATCCCCTGCCATGGCAGGGACACCTTCCACTATCCCAGGGTGCTCCAAACCCCGTCCATCCTGTCTTGGACACTTCCAAGGATGGGACAGGCAATACCATGGAAGTTCTGCTACCCAAAATGCACAGACACATCCCATCATCCCATCACCTACTCCAGCACGCGTGCAGATCCACACAGGCACATGCGAGCACCAACAGAATCAAAGCAGGAGGGTGGGAAGAAGTGGGAGGGAGGCAGCACAGGCATGATCTCACCAGGCACACTGAGGCACCACAGCCCGGGGTCCGGAGCAGCAGCCACGGGAGAAAAAATCCGAGTTTCCTGCCTTTGTAGGGAGGCTGTGCCAGCCTGTCTGCCCTCAACGAGCCGTTCCACGCGGGACACCGAGTGCAGCGGGATCCGGGGCCGCGCCGGAGGCGCCTCCTCACAGCCCCCCCGACCCCGCAGCGGGTCCCCGCTCGGCCCCGGCTCAGCTCGCCCCCGCTCCCCCCGCGCCCCCTCGTCCTGCAGCGCTGCCCGAGGAGGGCAGTGAGAGCACAGGGGCTTTACCTCTCCGCCGGGATCCGTCCCTCAGTCCCTCAGGAACACGCTCGGAGCACTGGGAGCCGCCTGCGCCCCGCGCCGCCCCCCCCCCCCCTCCCGCGCTCCCCCCCCGCTCACGACATGGTCTCTCCCGAGGCGCCGCGGCTGCCGCGGCCGCGGGCGCTCCCACTCGGCGCGGCGGGGGGGGGGGAGGCTCTGCCCGCGCTCCTCTAATGGCGGCGGCCGGAGCGGCCCAAAGCAAAATAAACCCCCGCACGGCCGAGCAGCACGTCAGCGCGGCCTGCCGCCCTGCACGCCGCCCATTGGCTGGGCCCGCTCCTGCCTTCCGCCAATCGGCGGGCGGCTCTTTGCGCAGAGTGGTGATGTCATCGGTGCCGCGGGGTGCCGCGCGCAGGGCGGGCGCCAGGGGGCGCCTCCCGTGCCGGCCCCTCAGGGCGGGACCCGCGGGGCAATTCCCGGCTGTTCCCGGCTATTCCCGGCTGTTCCGGGCTGGCCCTGCACGGCCCCTGGGCCCCTCCAAACCCCGCCACCTTCCCCGAGCCAAACATGCGCCTGGCTTGCCGGAGATAACGCGCAGAGCGTTGTGGTGTGGAGGCGAGAGCACTCTCCCCCACACGCCGTGGTACGGGGTGTATGGACATCGGAGGTTCCTGAGGGAGTAATCCCTCAAAAAACCTCCTTGTGATGGCACATGGCCAGGCAGCAGGCGTGGGGAACACCGGTTTGTGGATCTCAGAGTCTCTGAGGTTGGAAAAGCCCTCAGAACATCCAGTCCAACCTTATACCCAGCCCAGAGCCCTGAGTGCCACATCCAGCCCTTCCTTGGACACCTCCAGGGATGGGCACACCAAACCTCCCTGGGCAGCCCCTTCAATGTCCAATCACCCTTTCTGTGAATAAATTCCTCCTGATGTCCTCATGAACCTCCCCTGGATGCAACTTAAGGCCCTGTCCTCTGTTTCTTATCAGCACTTGGGAAATATTTCACTGTGGAGCACAAAAGGAATTAATGGGAATCCAGAGTCCACCAGGTGCCATGGTCAGGTTGATACGGTGGTGTTGGGTCATAGGTCTGACTCTGTCTCAGAGGTCTTTTTCAATCTAATTTGATTCTGTGAAATAAAATTTAAACATTTCCTCCACATGTTGATTCCAGCCGTTCCTGACTCGAGACAGTGAATGTGTGGGGTTGGAGTTCAGGGTGTCAGCCTGCCCGAAAGGACTCAGCAGCCCCACAGTGCAAAGCCCATTTATCTTCTGAGAGGAAAAGACCAGCAACAACAGCTCTGCCAGCCCTTGGGTTCAGTCCTTGTGCTGGCTGTGCAATATTTTTTTTGCTTTCCACTCAAAAATTGCGAGCCTGCATCTTCCTTAAGCTGCCCTTGTGGGCTCACTGACAGAAAATGTGTATTTCTCCACATCCTTGCTTTTCCCTCATGGGTTTTACATCATTTGATAGATGATTTTTTTTTCCCCTCACTGCAGTTACTACTTTTTATTTCAGGCTTTCTCAGATGTTTTAGCACTTTCTTATTTCCATGGTTTCATTCCCCATTCCCAGACTCTGTTAGACAATGCCTCAGGCTTGGAGTTGCATTGGGAAGCTCATCCTGGACCAGCTGGATCCATCCCTTCTCCCTCAGTCAGCACAAAAGAAAAGCACCTGAGATGTTCCAGCAGAGCAGTGCTAGAGAAAATCCCTTTGTCCAGCAAGCAAACAGGACTGGAGTCAGGACAAGCAAAATGTAATTACTTATGGAGACTGAAATAGAAATTTGTCTTCATTTGCAATTAAATTAGTTCCCTATAAACATTGAGAACTGTTGCAGGGGGAGGGTAATGTGATTTCTCTCTCCCAGACTAATTATTTACTAAATTCTCTTTCTGACTCCGCTGAACAAGTTGGTGCATTTCTCAAAACTGTAGAAAAAAGGGGGGACAACTTCTTTTTTTTTTTTAATAAGACTTGGATAAGTCATGTAAAATAAATATTCCTTGTCTTAAGGAATTTTTACCGTCTCTGTGCTTAAAAATCATCCAGAAAATGAAAATGTATCCCTTGCTGTTGACATCTAGGCAAGATGATGGAAGAGCTGTTGGGGTAAATTCTAAATGCTGCCCCAAATGTGCAACAATGGAAATTTCCAGAAATAATTGTTATAGATTAGATGCATAAAAAATATGAAAATAGAAGGAATATCTTAGAACCATAGCCTTACAGAGGGGCTTGGATTAGAAAAAAGTTATGACCAACTGAAAAAAAATAATTCCAAAGAATTCTATGATTCTAAGAGATTTTAATCTGTGCACAGTTGATCTGCAGAACAGAAACATTGTGAATAGTGAAAGAGGTCCCTGGATAGTATTCGAAGGAGAACATGTGGTCAAATTGAATTTGAAAATATTTACCAGAGCAAAAGCAAATCCTGGGCTGCATTTCCCAATTACCTGATGGTTTTGATGTTGGTGACTTTATTGTCAGGCCATGTCTTTGGCTTTAGCTCAAAAAGCTGCTGGTGTCTCCTTCCAGGTTTACCTTGCAGGAGTTTGCCATTTGTTCTGGACTTAAACAATAAAATACAAGAGGAATGACCTTTCAGCAGTTTAGAACATTGATATTTACACGTATAATTTATCCAAGAAGAGCTTTCAGACTTCTAATTTGGAGACACATCAAAATCTACATGACTTGATAGTCCAGTCCTCAATAGATTTGGTATTTGATCATCTTTTCTTTTTTTAAATGTCAGGAAGATAATTCTTTTTTTGTTAGAGGTGGCAGAAGTTGTAAGCAAGGAGGGTGGGATATAATTTCCTATATCCTACCCAAAATTTTCATTTTCTTTCACCGATTTAAGGAGAAATTTTAACTCCCTGGGAAGGAATTTGGAACAGTCACACTCACTTGTCAGCTGAAGCTGTTATTTTGGGAACCTTCCTTTGCAGAGCTGCATTTGCTCAGGCCTTGCAGCTCGTGTGCCTTCACACAGAGTTGTACAACTGCCCCTTGTGCCTCTCAACCAACCCACGGCAGAGCCACGGGATAAAAATATCATTTACACATATACGTGTTCCAGATTTCTCTTTTCCCCACTTTTCAAACATCATAAATCCCTGTTCTTGTAACTCCCCACCTTCCTTAGCCATCCTAGCTCCAATCTCCTTTCTCCCTACCAGAGCTGATAGTGAATCTCCTTGTCAGAGCCCACAGGTTTGGTAAAACCCCAGCAGTGTGCACAAGTGCTGAGATTTTGCAGGATTACCCGGCTCAGAGCCCCCTTGGTTGCCATCCCAGCAGCCTGGAACCCTCTGTGCCTGCGAGGTGTGAGCCTTGCAGGCAGCCAGCGAGGCAGATGGCTGGGAAGTTCCCTTCCTTTCCCACAAAGAATTTATAAATTCAGGATTTTTTGGCACAACCCTGAGTTGCAATTTGCCGCTGTCTCCCGTGAAACCCTTTGAGAGCTTTGCCTCACAAGATGCCCTGATTTTTTTCAGTCCTGTTAGTAAAAGGCCTTTCCCTCAAGCCTGCCTGACGTTTCTGTTCTGATTCACCCTGTTTATACCAGAGCAAATGATACCCAAAGCTATAATTAGAAAGCAAGCATTGAAACATTCCACAGGAGCACATTTGTTGCGTGTAGTAGCAGGGGACCCTCAGCGACACAAAATTGTGCTTCAGGTAAGCAAAAAGAAAAAAGTAAAAAAGACAAAAACCTAATTATTTTCTGCTGGCATGGAGTGTTTTTGTGCTGCAGCAGAATTACCTCAGCTTGACTGCAAAGATTACATCTAGTTAGTGATGTCTAAGTGCAGATCTTGCTCTTATGTAATTCTCTTTACCCTGGTAGCTCCTTGCTCTCAGGCAGGGCGCTGGCTCCCATCAGGAGATTCATCCTCAGCTTATCCAGCAGCAGGGATGTACATGCTCACCAGATGGTTATTCCTCACTAGCTGAACTTTGGATATGCACAGCTCCCTACTCAACCAGCTCCTCAGATCCTGCTCTTGCTGTTCTTTATCCTGTGTTTTCAGGAGCAAGGAGGACTAGCAACACTTAGATAAAGGGCGAGGAATAGAAGCGCACAAGAATCCAAAGGAAGCACAGGTTTTGGATTGAGAACAGGATGTTTTAAATGGTTCACTGATTTGTTACCAGTCTTCCATCCTCTGAGTCAGCCTGAGCCTCTACATCCAGTAAATCCCATCCTTGGGCTGCTTTTCTCAATTTCATTTGAATCATAAAAGTGTTCAACTCTGGCTAGATCACGATCTGTCCTATCCAGGCAAGGCTGAAGTCAGAGGAGGCTCAGTCACAGAACCATAGAATGCCTTGGGTTGGAAGAGATGTGAAAGAGCCAGCAAGAGACCCTTCACAGCTCTCCAAGTAGTCACAGTGTATGGGGGTGATTGTTTTGGGGACAAAACAGCCAGAAAGATAGAGAATAAATAAACCTAGCTTGGAAAAACTGGGCAGAAATGTCTCTAAAGTCTGCACCCTGAAATGTATTTCAGTAGCAGAAAGAAAATGGTTCAAAGTGGCGAGCACTTACATTGAAAGCTTCCACATTCTCATATTTTTCTTGTTTCCTCTCTAGTTCCACATGGAGCAGAGGAAGGGGATAAAGGAGTAAATCCATTTGGGATGGGGCTGCCCAGCTGAAGGCTTTGAGCCCTGTGATGGGGGAGCCTTGGAAGCTTTCCTCAGCTGGGCAGACCTTGTGTAGGTGAAGGAGCCTGGCCAACAGAGAGCAGCTCAGGTGGAGAACAGCAGGAAGCTGGGATGGTGGCCGTGCTCCAGCCCCCAGTAAGGATCTGCAGGCTCCAGGAGGCTGCAGGAGCTGCCCAGCCCAGATGGTGAGCACAGCGTGCCTGCTGCTGTCCCAGCACCATCAGCAGGGCTGGCACAGCTCAGGAATGCAGGGGGAGGACAGACAGGAGGAGAAGAGAGAGGGACTGAGGGAAATGTGGGACAGGGTGGGAAAGGGGAAAGAAAAATAGAATAGGAGAATGCAAAGAGCTCTTTGGGTGTGCTCTGAAAGCCTTCAGGGACTGCAGTGACAAGTCACAACACAACTCTCAAAGGATGCAGCAG